CTGTGCCCTCTCGTATAACGTGCTATTTCGTGTTTCCCCTCTCATCACAGCACTGTGTCTTTGAGTCGTCCAACGTTACGTAGAAATGAGGGACGGTCCCATTCACACCTTTTGATTCATCTTCGAGCGATAGCATTTTTTTGTGGGTAGTGCTAAAGAGTTCCTTTTTGCTCCAAGTTTTTAGCCAAAAACCAATTGCCTTATTTAGCGAGATCACGCCACAGGAGATGAGCAATGGAATACATTCGCAAGCCAAGAGCAATGTATAGACTTCTGTGTAGGTATGTTCATCACTCATTTCATTTCATAATTCGGAACCTCATGTCCTCTGTGAAGGCCCATAACGGAGTTTACAAGAAATCATATACAACTGCCAATAGCCAAGAATATTTCACAGTATCTTCCCCTATGGAATACGTAGGACGCTAGATTTTCAATAGGTCACTGCGTATCGTATATACCTATATAATGATTAGATAGTCGAAAACCATGTTTGAATGCAGAGAAGCTTGAATCGCTCGGCATCTTCTCAGTAAGCTTAACACTTCACTGAGAAAGGTGCCAGGATCGAGTTACTCCATAGTTCCGAATCCACAATATGTAGTAGTTGGCTTCCTTCGCCTCTGGGCCACGCGCACCCTCTAATTTGGAAGACGAGAAGAGCGTCGAGCGCAGACCACACACCACAAGTGACGACGGCCGAAGAATTGGCGGTTTTTTGGCTGTCGTCACTTGTGGTGTGTGGTCTGCACTCGATATCTTCCCTTCTTCCAAAATATAGGGTACATCTTTACTACTCAATAACAGTTTTGACGCTGCGAATGAATTCGGCCTGCTAAAGGTGACTAAACTGAAATTGTTCTCATCGAAATCCATTCAGCTCTTCCAATGCTTGAATTCCCACCTGCTTTTTTATACCAATTGTTTTTACATTAACCCGTTTAGCCGAATATATCTTCTTGCATATTTGATGCCTCAAATCATGCCCTCAGAAGTACTTTCAACGTAACAAATGATGCAAATAATTTGAAGTTGTGGTTATAGGCACCTGCCCAAATGAGCTCGAACAGCACTACAATCCGATCACGGGTCAACCACAATTGTGCGATGCAAAAGCAAAAATCGGTTGTCCACTCGGTTTCGAATGCGTTAGGACGTGGGTTGATTGCTATTGTTCTTGAAAATTCTCCTTTCACTCGAAATTGAGTACCATTCGTGCAATTCAGTTCGCCTTTCGCAGCAATTTGCTGTCGCACAACTCCCGTCTGTCCTGCAGCCGAGTCCATCGTTCTAGCAGAGGTGAGTTTTTGATTCATCAAAAGCAAAAATAAAAACCTTAAATACAAACTCGAAAAATTTCTAAAATGTCGTATTTTTTCTAGCATTTGGATCGTCCATTTAGCTTGCGTCCAACCTCCACTCTTGAGAAACTAGTTCTCAAACTGCGAACGTAACTTGTGTCCAAGTGGTGGTATTTAGCACCCAAATAGCTCAGAAATCAAATGCTCAGTCAACAGATGAATACGACATGTTTTGAGAACCAGCTCTAAATTCTTGTGTTGGCGATCACATCATTCAGTTGTCCACAGGAAACTGGAAGGTGCATGTCCTCTAGGTTTCTGAGTAATAGTTGTTCAGAAAGGAGTGCCGAAGCTGTGTGATCCGGGTCACCACGATTCGTGTCCTGAGCAGTACTCGTGTCAGCAGGCCGAAAATTTGGTCAGTTTCTACGCTTTTTCTATTTGGACTTACAAGAAGTCTTGATAATTTCTAGATTAATCGCGGTAGGAGAATGGGAACAGTTCTTTGAAAAATCTACGGATTATACATATTGATCCATGACGGAGTTATCTTCCTCATATCTACCGATCCATCCTAAAATGGGGTCATATTAGTATTTGGTACTGCAGACTGCCCCTGTCCAGCTGAAGGTACGGGAACAGCGTCTGCGATGGTATGGGCATGTGCTAAGGAGGCCACAGGACCATCCGATAAGAACAGCGATGGACTTCGAAGTACAAGGCAAGCGACCGCGAGGAGCCCCAAAGAAGAGGTGGAAAGACGTAATCAAGAAGGACCTAGGTGAAGTCACGGCCACGATGGAAGATGCCCTGGACAGAGCAAAGTGGCGACGACTGACAAAAACAGCGGACCCTGCGACTGCGCGGGACTAACGCTAGGGAGAAGAAGAAGAAGAAGACTCAAAAAAATCGGATTGAAAACAACAGCTGGTTATTGCTTCTGTGCCGAACAGGTCTTGTATGAGGGAATGTTTATTCAGCCCGGCGTCGACAAACTCGTCGTTTTCAAAAAACGGTTTTAAAGCCTTTAAAATGTTACCTATCTTCCCAATATAAAATTTGACCAAGCACCACCCAGAATGAAGAGCTAGAAAGTTACGGTAGGCCTCCTTGAACTCGACGATGATGGTAGATGACGTCGAATTCTGAAGACGGTGAGGGTAGTGGAGGAGGCCCTGCTTCTGCCTAGGAGGATACATCTAACAAGGTAGCAGGTCGAAGTGAGCATTCCTAACGAGACATACACTACTAGAGTTTCTGGATGCTGATCTCGAACAATCAGCATGAATAAGAAGTCTTTGACAATGTTCTCAAGAAAAGCAAAAGTAAGAACTCGCCAAGAAGTCGATCTCACGACCTCTTGCTCGTCGGCCCGGGCCGCTGCCACTGCACTATCTCGCTTCATAACTACGTTTAGAGAATCGTTCCGCAGATTTGGAGGGCAGATTTGTATTAGTAATACCGTATTAATTTAGGAGCACATATGTTGCACACGACCGCTCGAATGTCCAAATGGTATGAAGGCACTCAGAGAAGATGGTAAGCTTTACATAAATCTCTGAGTGGTATTAGCATTCCAGATCTAATTGTGTGCTTCGGTTCTCCCTTCAGCTGACTACTTGATAACCTTCAAAGATCAAATCTCAGCCAATATTTTTTTTCAGATTTTCGGCTTTATCTCAGATCCCTTGAACTCGAATCGTCCCCTCGCCTGCTTGACTTTCTCTTGTTTACAACTCATTTACATATTTAGGTGGGCGCCCACGAGCTTGCACACTCGGAGTAGAGGGTAATTGTCCTGGTGATCATGTATGTGTTCTAGGAGAAGGTGAGGTTTGCAGCCTGGATACTCTACTACTCTTTAATCGAGCTTGGTACAGTGATCTCGAATAAAAGATAGTGTAATTATTTCAGGAATGACTGTTGGTAGCGGAGCCCGTCACCTGTGCTGTCGTCCTGAAAAGGTCTGCATCGTTCCTTACGTGGACATCACAAAAAAGCGACCACAACGCTGTTTTCCAGGTACTTCTGGAAATTCTGTAATGATTATGATCGCGTTAACCACACTGCCTTGATTTGCGCTGAA